ATAATTTGATTTTTTTACTAATTAGAAATTATTTTCTCAAATATGTGAAAATCAAATAGACAATATATTATGATGTAATATGGTATATATAATTAAATTATACATCTAATCAATGTTGTTTAAAAATAAAAATTAAATTTTAAAATAAACTACATTTATAAGAAAATTATTTACGATTTAAAATATAAATTTTGCTTCATTTTAAATTAATGTCATATTAAAAATAATTTTTGAAATAAATAAAAATATTAAATAAATAGTAATATAAATATATAAAAATTATTTTTTTGAATTAATAATTAAAATTATCATATAATTTACTTTTAGTGCTTAATAATGTTATATACATACACATTTATATATAATTATTTGGATAAAAGAATATTTGACGTATATATAATTTTATATTAAAAGATTGCAAATTTATTGTAGTTCAACAAGCAAAGGTTTAGGCGCGCACACACGAGATCAAGGTTTTGAGCATAACCACGATTAAAAAAATTAATAATAACTAGGAAAAATTTGAGAGAAGGACCTAGATAAAATGAAATTTATTTAAAAGGATCTCAAAAACTCTAAATTATTTTAAAGGACCAAAAATTAAAACATAAATTTACAGTTACAAAATTATCCTTGACCAAACTCCCTGCATCCTCTCTAATCCTCTCCTCTCGATACATTTTCACAACAGCTACGCTCATGATTCGTGTTATTTCGTCCAAATAAATACAAAAAATCATTATCTGAATTCACAAGATACTTCTCCAATCTTTAATATAAGGCTTAGTTGGGGAATTCATGTTGGTCCTATACTTAAGATCTATTTTATATGTTTATCAATTTTTTTTTCAAATTAACCTTATTGATACTTCTTTAATAATAATCAAATAAAAGGGGGGAGGGGAATTAAGAAAAATACTTAGGGTGTTTTAGAAAAATAATATCATATTAACTAATTTAACTAACATATTTAATCTGCTCAAATTAGTTAATTAGCTTTTATATTAAGGACCATGGCTATATAATATATTAATTGGATACAAAAATAATTTGACCACAAAGTAAGATACTGAGGTCGCTAGGGAAGAATGCAATGCGGAGGATCTTGCGGCCTTGTCTATCTTTAACTTTGATATTGAAGACCTCCAATTTGAGAAGCAATTCTTCTTGTTCGAGCTCATAGATGGTGGAAATTTCCATTCATATTGTCTGTAGATTTTGAAGCGGTGTGGAAGAGAATTGAAAATAGCGTGTTTGGAAATACAGATTACGAAGGTGGGAAATATGATAATTAAAGGATGGGGAGCAGAAGGTAATAATTAGGGAGAGGACAAACAAGAAGACGGTAAGAAAAAAGAAAAATAAATGAAAACAAGAGGGCCAAGTTTTTAGGTTTAATTCAGGGCAATTTAGTAATTATCAATTTACATTTATAGTTTTTGGTTCATTAAAATAACTAGAAATTTTGAGATCCTTTTTAATACATTTTATTTCTTCTTGCTCCTTCTCCCTAATTTTCCCCAATAACTTTATCAAGACAAATAAATTTAAAAAATTAATTAAGTAGTATCACCAGCCTTAAACATAGGATAACTTATCTACTATCCTCTAATAAAAGAATTTGCTAGAGTCTGATCTTCCATTGATAATCAAGACACTCTTGAGTTATCTGGCCATCATGACGTGGGAAACATCATGGGGACTATTGAAGTTGAACACCTATTGGGGCTAGTTGGAGGTATATGAACTTCAAATGTTGAAACACACAGATCAATATAATTAATATAGAAGCAGGTAAGTATCAATAATATCATGGTCAGAAGAGAGTGCATTTTGGTATGAAGAATCCTAATCCCAAGACTAAATTTTCAATCCCACCTTCCCTCATGGTATTTTTCAATCCCACCTATATGGATTTGCCTAATTTTGAATAATATGCGATCCCTCATATATTAAATGCTCTTTTAGTGAATTTTCTCTATCCCATTCCCAATTTTATTTTTCATTTTCAATACTTCATATTAGATGAGACTTAAAAATTTTGAGATGTTACATGCCACAAAAGATAATTTGTAATCCAAACTAGTTGTTAGTTAACTTCCAAGATGTTGGGGTAGTATGTTATATTCTATGGTTGGAGTTTCCCACCAGATGTATTTGCCGCATGCCGACTTCACTACTACCAAACACGGGAGGAACAATTGAGAGTGGCAATTGATAAAATTCATGGGCCTTATGAATTTATATCATTCCCCAAGTTCCACTTCAAGTCTTAAGCCTTGTTTAATATGGAGGATTGAGAAGTAAGAATTGAGATTAGGATTAGGAAAGCTTACTAAAAGAGTGTTTTGGTATGAAAAATTGCTTGTTAATTGATATTAGGCAAACCCAAATAGGTGGAATTGGGAAATACTATAAGGAGAGGTAGTATTAGAAATTTAATCTTCGGATTGGGATTTTCACTACTACAAAAGAGATATATAATGTCACAATTTAATAGCACTTAAAAAGAAAAATGCCATAGAAAAAAGGCAATGGTATTTTTGTAAATAAAAAGAGTGACGTTTCACTTTCCACGGCAATTATCTTAATAATCGTAGCAAAAAGTTTTAAACATGACCCTATTGCGCGTTTTCTTTTTCATAGTTTCATAGTTTCACAACTATAGAGCAAGGTGGACCCCCCTCTGTCCCACCACCCAAAGTACATTTTCGACAAATCCTCACTATTTTCTGTCATGTTTGGACCTCTATTCGCCTTGTCATTGATTTTCACTGTCTTCCACCGTTTATAGATGCCTCTTCTCGCGTTTTAGTCATCTCCCACTGAGTGAGTTTCCTTGTATTGGCCAAAATATGTTTATGGGAAGGGAAGAAATTTTGTTGGTCCAACATGTTAGAACACTTCAAAGCATGATAGATTCTAGTGGTTACAAATGGTTGTAGGTTGTTTTAAAGTGTTTTCTTTGTTGTGTTGCATGAGGACCATTTTGGCCAAGACAAGAACTAGACCCTAGGGTGTGTTTTTCTTTGTTTTGATGCTTCCATTGGGTTCAAAATGGAAAATGGTATAGGATAAACCTAAAGAACAAAGGTTGGAAGCATTAAAGCCAAAGTTGTAATTTTTAGAAAATGAACCCTATGGCACGGCCAAGCTGAAACTAGAAGAGGGAGTTTTGTTTTCTTAAATCCAAGTATATATTTGGAATCTACAAAAAAAATCATATAGAAATGAGCCAAGAGGAAATTTTTAGGGTTTATGGACAACAAACTCTAAAATTTAAGAAAGGTGGAAGTTTTAAGGGACATGGGTTGTCCTTGAGTTGTGTTTTTGTTTTTTCATGGTTTGGTTGGTGATTCTTGCTGCCCTTTTTGTGAATTACCATTTTAGGGTTTGACCTTTGTGGAAGCAAGGAAGAAGAACAAGAAAATTAAGGGCATTTGGATAAAGGTAGCAAAGTGAACATAACTACTAACATTAACTTTGCATTGTTAATTATCGCATGATTAATTGCTATTATGTGGATGAAATTTTTTGATTGTGATGTGGATGCTCTTTGAAATTTCTTACTTTGGCCTTTGCATCATTGAGTTTGCCAAATGATAATCATGCTAGTTCACCAATAGTAGTTAATTTAGTTATGCATAATAATGATGCTTGTTGATGATATAGTTGGTTAATTTGCTATTGGGATTTCAATTAAATCTCATCCCCAAAATGCAATCTAATATTTTAGGACCTAAAACTTCCAAGGACAAGCTACAGAATGAAGGTTAAATTATGGTGTCAAACCATAAAAATTTATCGACTTTTGGTTATGTCAATATTTAGCTTGGACAGTACTGTAAACCTATTGACACCGTCAACTTTAAGTGACATTTTGATAAAGTTTCTGAATGCTTTTAACCACAAAATTTGGCATGATTGTAGACCACGTTCTGAGCTTCATTTTGATAGCTAAGATGTTAAAAATGGCCAATTACATGATTTTTAATGATTTTTCAAAGTTAAAGCCTAGAATCTGCAAAAGAATTTTTACCAAAAAGACAGAGGTGACTTTCACAAAAACCTGACACTTTCTCAAATAGAATTGGTTCACAAGATTATTTTTTTTCTTGAAAGAGCATTTAAAGAGCTTTTTATATAATTTTAAATCACTCTATTTTGATTTTTTGAGATTAAGTTATGAACTTTTGAAATTGGGTCAGAAAAACTAGATTTTTACCTGATGAATAATGAAAATCCGAAGATTAGTGTTTTTTTGTGAAAAATTGAGCCCAAAGCCATCCAATGTGGTTCAAAATAATTTTGCTTAAACTCTAAGTCGATACGATAGTAAGTTGTAACACTGGATCTTGGTTTTTTTAGAGCCATTCAGTCTTTGCAACAATATGAAGCTGCAAACTCAGTTGATAGCCTCATTGAGGCAGTGGAAAAATCATTCCAAGATTTTTCAGTCAATAAATCAGAAAAAAATTTTGTAACACTTCAAGCAAACATGATTGAGATAATGAAGTTAAAGGGATCAAATCATCACAAGTTGCCTCATTTGAGGAAAGATGCAGTGTACACAGATGGACTGCCAACTCAACTAGGTGTTGATGCTCCACTAATAGAAGAAGTGTGCCATTATTTAGAAATGGACAATGCACGGGACCTTTAAACATTGTGTTTATTTCTTCCTTTATTTTTAGTGTTAGATAGTATGTCATCTTTATTGCCTTTTGGTGTGTGGAGCTGATATGATCTAAGGATTCTGATGGTGGATTTTAGAGTTATATTTCTTGCCATCATGAACTCCCTTTTATCTTTTATTTTTATTTTTTTCCTCTCAATGATTTAATTATAGATGACTTATTTCACAATGTTGCATCTACAATCAGTATATAAATCTTAGGTTCATGATTTTTAATTTTTAGCAATGTATGGCTAACATTACGATGAAAAGACAAGAATCATTATATAATTGGAGCAGATGGTTTATTCTAATTATTGTCAACGACTAGTGAATTATGCCAAATGATTAACTTATAACAATAAAAAAAAGGCCAGTGCTCAAATAACAATGACACTGATGTGCATTATCAAAGATTTCCAGTAGAAAAACTATTATAGAGAAATAGATATACTCATATCAAACAATAACTGATAGACTCATGGGCATAGTACATTAGAATCCATTGTATATGCGACACATGCAAGTTGTATGACCCAATACTAAAAGCATTGTTAATTGGTTCAAAAAGCAACCCAGTCAATATTTAAATGAACATAACAAGAGTATCAATACTGATAGGAACACTATGACAATCCAAAAGGTTTCGATCTTTGAAGCCAACTTCCACATCATTAGCCTAAAATTATAGAAAAGGAAAGCAACCTACAAAACCTCCATATTCCTCCAACATTAAATCTTTTTATAACTCAAGGGTAACTACCAAAATAAACCTAAGCATAGTGAGCAACTCATTGTTTAACGCTGTACTTTTAAATCCAAAGTTAGGTCCTTCCTCAGGATATTCGTTGAGGTCGATCAGCAACTTATTATTGTCGGCATTGGATGTTGTAGGAGAAGGATCATTAGGCTGCTCCATTTTGTTTCTAGTTATCTCATATTTCCTTATAGAACTGATTTCTTCACCGTTCATGTCAGAATATGAATCCTTGTCAAAAGAGTCCTCCATAACAGCAAATGCATCAGTGACATTTTCATTTGAAATGGGTTGATCTATTTCCATTGAAGTGGCTTCATCTCGTAACTTGTTCAGATCAAAGAGTGGCTTTCCTTTCAACTTTGAAACTCCCTCTACTTTCTCCTCACCAGAAAAATTTATTTCTTTATTATCACTTAAGACTTCATCATTCTTGAATGAGTCCTAAACAAGATTTGAGTCCCAGGTAATATGCTCAAAATCATCATCTGTGGAGTCCTGAATAATGATATCGAATGACAAGAACTATCCATCTCTTGGTTCTCTAATGACTTGAAAACAAGAACGTCCGGTGCCATTGAAGCTTCTCTCCTGTATTCATTTTGTTTAAAGCATCTTTCCCTATTCTCATGCCTCATAAACCAGCCACTTCTGTAATTAATGCCATCAATAACCAAAAAAATTAAATAAATATTTTAGGGGTAAAATTGGAAAATATTCATTAAATGTTTAGACAAATCTGAAATGTTATCTTATAAAAAAAATGAAGCCTCTCAACAAAAGTTAGCTTATATTTTGAACTGGAGGGAGTATTTGTTGGTTTTTCTTTGAACAGGAAATGGACAGATCTGGTCAATAGGGTTCTAACGATGACAACTCCTTTACTGGTAAGAAAAGACGTAGAGAGCTGATCCATATGAAGAAGTTGGCTTTGCATGATGAGACCATACAACCCATAAGGATAGCAGTACAATTCAATGATGATTTGAAGGGAATAGTTCCTGAAGAGACTCAGTTTAATAGTTAAATGGATTATCTGGCACATAGTAAGATTGGGATTGACATTCCTAATTGAAGGATGATAGAGGAAAATGTGAAGAACAAGCTTTGGGGTACATTACGAATTCTTTTCTCTATTTGTTTCAATTATAATTAATTATTTACTTCTAATCCTATTGTATTTTATTGTAGTTCATATGTGATATTCCTGCAATAGAGCAGATGGAACACCATGTATTAAAGCAACTTGATGAACAGTGAAGACATTTTAAATCTATGCTTACAAGGGAGTATCTCTGTGGAAAAAGAAAGGGCAAGCATCCTAAGGATCAATACTCTTTTATTAGTGACGGGCATGGGAGAGGTTTATCAAGCAACGAGAAAACCCTGTATTTCAGGTTTGGTTTCTTCAAACTTAGTTATTAATGAATTTATAATTTATTTAACTAAACTAACTTTGTTAAATTTGTTTCATTGTCATAGGCACTAAGTAGGAAGAGTAAGCAAATATTTGAGCTAAATGTGTACCCACATACCCTGTCTTGTGGAGGGTACAGCAGGTTAAAAAGAAGTATGATGGAGAAGCGGTTGTAGGCTGCACAGATGGTTGCTGCTCTAGACCCTACTAAAGTTATTCCACCCATCCAGCATTCTTTTAGCCAAGGAAAATAGAAGGCGGCGAGGGTTAAAAAGGGTCAATATATCACTCAAGAGACTACTGCTATTGTTGAGAGGATTGTAAGTAATATCAAACATTATACTTCATTAACTACTTTTTTCAATTATCTTAAATTGAATTTGTTGTTGAGGAGCAAGTATCCCAAGGAACATTCGTTCCTTATGGACGGATGGATATCTTGGCCACTGTGATCAGAAAGGCTGACCATCTCGGTAGAGTTAGAGGGGCTCCTAAAGGGATTGGTATTAAACAGTTGTTTCAGCCTTAGTTCACAAAGAAGCACTGGTTCATCCTATGCTGACATGGTATCTAAAAAAGAGCTTGACTAGAGATTTGACATGTCTCATTTTTCACCTATATTTTTTAGTCCAAACTTATGCGTTTGTGGATCTTAATTGTGTAATTGGGCTAAGTTAGACGTTTTTTTTTTTGTGCATCAAGAGTATTAGAGTCAATTATGTGTTTTTATATGATAATTCTTGAGTTTTATTCATTCATTAGCTCTTATGTATCCTATGTACTTTAGATTAGATGATCATGAGCTTAATTTGACTATTCTAGGTGATTGAAGGTGGAAGAAAGCAAGAAAGAATGGCTCTGCCAAGGATCACCGCAGCACACTCTTACCTTCGTCGCAACAAACATATCTAGTACGGGACGCAGATCATTAATCCAAACGGTGTTTTTTGTCACATCTAGTAATATGGCATTTTGGAATAGAGATATTCCTAAATATTTAAAGGCCAAAAAGGATAAGGAGAAAGGGAAGATTTATGGTGGAAAATAATTATTATAGTTTTCCAAGTCGATGATGAAAAGTTTGACTAATTAAGGAAAATTGGTCAAGAATAATTATGGAAAATACTTCCAAGCCTTAGAAAATTAAGAAAAAATAAGGACAATATTTCTTGAGAATTTTATGGGATTATAAAATTAGTTTTATGACCAGATTGTCCTTAAAGAAATTACAAAGAAATTTAAGGGCGATTTAAGTTAGTTTAAGGCCTTTTATTTGAAAAATTCCAAATAAATAACTGAAAGGAGAATAAAATCCTAAAGAAATTTCTATTATATCCCAAGAAATTATAAGAGATTATGGAATTAAAAGAAGACCCTCAAGTATCCAAGATTTTTTCCAGTTCCTTTGAAAAGTGGAAAAAATCACTAAAGAGAAGAAAATTAGTTTTCTTTTTATTTAATTATTGGGAAATTAAATTTGAGACAAAGAGAGAAATTTAGAAAGATAAAAATGAGGAGCATAATTTATGGATCTGACAAAAAATAATTATAGAGGCCAGAGCACTGTAATTATAGAAAAGAAGTTAAACCCGGAGTAAAAGTGCACTGATAAAGTGAAGAGTATAGTCTTGCACTTTACCTGGCCCACAAGTTGCCACTTGTCAAGCCTCTAATGGATAGTAATTAAAGCTTTCCAAGTGTCAAGCATTAAGTGGAGAGGATCTTGACTTTGAAATTTAATTACATTATGATTTACTTAATTAAGAGAGAAATTTCAAGACTAAGTAGGAAAGTAACACTTGGCAACTCATTTATGATGGTAGTTGGGATATTTTGGTGCATTAGTTGAACTCTTCTTCCCCCTAAAATCTGATTAGTGTTCGGCCAAGGCAAGAAGAGAGGGAAAAAGAGAGAGCTTGATGGAGAAATCAAGAGAAAGGGAGCAACTTTGATCATCCAACTAAGATCCGAGGTTATTTTTTGGTTCTAAGTTGTTCCTTGCCTTGTTTGCTTGAGTTGTATGTTTAGAATTTCTAGTTCTCCCCTTTTTATTTAGCTGGCCGAAATGTTTATTGAGTGGGGAAGGAAGTTTGGTTGTTAAATCTTGCTAGAACACTTCAAAACATAATAGATCCTAATAGTTACAAGTGGTTGTAGGTTGATTTTGGTGTGTTTTCTTTATTATGTTGCATGAAGACCACGTCAGCCAAAGCAAGAATTGGACCCTGGAATGTGTTTTTCAAAGTTTTGAGGCTTCCATTGTGCTCAAAATGGAAAATAGTGTAGGGTAAACCTAAAGAACAAGTGTTAGAAGCCATAAAATTAAAGTTATAGTTTTTGGATAATGAACCCTTTTAGTTCGACCAAGCTGAAAACTAGAAGAAGGGATTTTATTTTGTTAAATCTAAGTAGATAATTGGAATCTACATGATAAATCATGTAGGAATGAGTTAAGATGGAATTTTTTTAGGGTTAAGTAAATAAACTCTAAAATTTAAAGAACAAAGGTGGAAGCTTTAAGGCACAAAAGTTGTTCTTGAGTTATGTTGTTGATTTTTATGTGGAATGGTTTATTATTCTTGCTGCCCTTTTTGTGGATTACCATGTTAGGGTTTGGCATTTGTGGAAGCAAAAAAGAAGAACAAGAAAATCAAAGAGCATTAGATCAAGGTAGTAAGATTTAATTGACCTTAATGTTGAGTGTTGCATTGATTGTTATGCAATTTCATGTGCTATTATGTGGTTGAGCTAAATGTTGATGATGATGATGATTGTGTAGCTATACTCCTTGCTTTATATGTCTTGGCTATTTCATGTTAGAGTGCTACATGTATGAGGTAAAATAGTTCCCTATTAATAACAAAAGGTTGGAATACTTGTAACTGATGCATGTTGATGTTTTGGTTGATTGATCTTACTACCGGGATTTCATTGAAATCTCATCCCCCATATGTAACCTAATATTTTAGGGACTGAATCATCAAAAGGGAAGCTACAAATCCAAGGATAAATATGGTGATGAGCCATGAGAAAATATTTATATTTGGTTATGTATAAGCATGCATGGTTGGAGCTATAATCCTTAAGCAGGATGCCAAATTAGAGACATGTTTTATTAAGTTACCGAATGAATTTCTACACAAAATTTTGTGTGCTTAAAGTTAACGTCATGAGCTTCGAATCAATAGGCAGAACGTTAAAAATAAGCAACTATACAATTTTTAATGATTTTTCAAAATTAAGGTTCAGAATCTGGAAAAAACATTTTTGCCAAATGGATAGAGGTGAGTTTCACAAAAACCTGACACTCTTTCAAATATAATTGGTTCATAAGATTATTTTTCCTTGAAATATCATTCAAATATATTTTTATAAAATTTTGAACCACTCCATTTTGATTTTTCTAGATTAAATTATGAATTTTTGAAGTTGGCCTAGAAAACCAGATTTTTACCTGATGAATAGTAAAAATCTGAAAATCAACGTTTCTCATGGATTTTTGAGCCCAAGACCATCTAAGGTGGTCTAAAATGGTTTTAATTAAACCCTAAATGGATCTGATAGTAAGGTGTGACATCGTTTTAGGTGCATTGCGGTAAACATTCTGTTTTGCCACTGCAAAAGGACTAAAATCTGCAATTCAAATTATCAGATCGCCTGCATTTGGGCAGAAGAGAAGAAGATCCATTACTACATCCACTTCTCAGTCTAGCTGGCATTTCCTCTTGGTTTCTCTGTCCAAACACCTCCAGAATGAAGCGAAATAAGTAGAGATTGAAGGAGATCGTCATAACACTTCTTTTCCTCCATTTTTGATATCCCTCTTCTCTCCTCCTCCCCTCTCTCTGTGTTTTCTTTGCAATTTTCACATTTCCATCGCCATTCTCGCATCTTCTCTTGAATCAACCATGGAAGGACATCCATTGGAACTTGGTGAGGTGAAGATTTTGTCCATGAGTACTAGATTTCTCATTCTTCTCTCACAATGGCAATGGCTAGAGCTTAGGCAACCTAAGGGATTTTTCAATTGATTAAATCTCTTTCTCTTCATTGTTTAGTAATTCTTAGGGCTTAAGAATGCTATTTAATGACTAAATGGATTGTATTGGATTGTATTTGTATTAGATATTTAATTTTATATCTTTGGAATTTCAAGACTTGTGTTTGGTATTTGAGCTTTCATATCTTTAATTTCTTATAATTGACTTGGAATAGCATTTGCTTTGGAATTGTTGAGACTATCTAATGGCAATCTAAGGTGGCTTAATTGTTAGGTTCCTTGTTTGTGTTAAATGCAATTCTTGATTCCAATTTTGCTAGTTATGTTTAATCAACCTAGTTGTGGTTAATTCATATTTATGGTGGTTTAGCATGTATTAATTCATTTAGGCCTAGACTAAGAGGTAGCTCTTAGTATTTTAATTGCTAGCTGACTCTTAAATCAATTAAAGTGAGGAAAGCCTAAGTCATTGTGAGGAATATTCATATCATTGT